ATTTACTGATAAAATCAGTTATTATGATTAAACCAATGAATTTTATTTCAAATAAGTACAGTTTTGATAGGTATAAGCTAACCCAAGTTATTGAAATTGCCTCTTATGTGCAATGCAGCTTTACTTATCCAAATATCAGCCTCTCTACAACATAGGGCATCTGAAAAAACACTGACACAGGAAGTAAATAAAAGCACTGTATACATCAGTGGTCCCTCACAGTCCTTTTGTTCTACACTAGCTATCGTGATCCTTGGTTTATTAAAAGGCACTTACTGTCTTTTTTTTTTTTTTCAGAAGCCGGAGACAATGTACCAGTACTTGTACTGCCATGTTAGCAGTGTCGAATTGGTTTAGCTACGTATATTGACTAAATCAGTTTAGCCTTTCACTGTAGCAAAGAAGCATAGTATGCTATACTAGAGAACTACAGAGTCTACATCAGAGATCTATAAGCAGTAGAATAGAGTTAAAACAGAAGGTATACTACAAGGTGGAAGCAAGAAAGTTGAGTTGACCACTAAAGGATAATGGAGATCTGGATGTGTATTTTTGGAGATTAATTACCCTAAAGTATCTTTTGAACAGATAAAAAGAATACTGGATAAAATAAAATAAAACTGGATGAAAATATGTTTAAAAAGCATTAATAAGTTGGCAAAAAAAGTAAAATTCAAAACAAAGTAAGCCAGGAACTGTAAAAGATAAGTGCCAAACCTAGTTTTTGTTCTGAGAGTTTCTGCTGAATCTTGAAATATTAGTTTTCCATTTCAACATCTTCTTGGGACATGGGGGATATGAGTTAAAACTCAGTATCCACCCATGATAGGAAACCTCATAGAACACCCTTCACAAAGCTGATATGTGTAGAAGCGACACAAAGAAAGAAATGCCAAGGAAATTTGCCAGTACTAATACTAATGCTAGGTAAATGAATAGTAAGTAAAAGCATCCTTGAGAATTTATAGATACAAGCTGGCCCTCAATGGGTCTGAAAAAGTCTCAAGTGGAGAGTTTAGCCTAGAATGTTTCCAGCTGCTAGTGGCCCCAGATGACTGGCAGAAACAAATGAGAATTATTTAGAGAATTCAACTTCAGTCTAGGTTCAACCACATTCCACTGATAGGATGTCAAGAAAAATGAATCCTCACAGTAAAAAGTCATAAAGCACCTAAGGAGACGAGATACCATAAGTAAAAATCAACCAAAACAATAGACCCCCTCGAAAACTATAAACATTAGAATTACCAGACAGAATGTACAACCATATTTAATTTGATTAAAGAAATAAAAACTTGAAAACATAAATAGGTAACAAGTGGATTTGAAAAATAACTAAATAGAAATTCTAGAAATTAATCATATAATTAAAATATTGAAAATATTAATCAGCAGATTAGACACAGCAGAAGAATGAATTGGTGAACTAATTTCTGAAGAAATTATCCAAAATATAGTCCAGAGAGAAATAGTTGTGGAGAAAAGAGGGAGAAAGTCTAATATACTTTTAGTCAGAGGTTTAGAAGGTGTTTATAGAGCCAAGCGGAAAAAGACAGTATTCAAAAAGCATTCCTCAGAATTATTAAAAGACACTAATCCTCAGATCAAGAAAGCCAAATAAACCCCGAGATTAAGAATTTCTCTTCAACAAAAACCACCGTAAAGAAAGTGAAAAAATAAGCCACTGGGAGGTGATACTTGAAATACATAGAATCAACTAGGGATAAATCTCTCTTCAGAATATATACATTTTATATATTAGTATCTCTCCAGAAATATATTATTTATAATTATATTATAATAAAAATTGTATATGTTTTATATATTTATATATAACATAATAATAATATGTTATTATTGTGAATCAATAGGAAAAACTACCCAGAGAGCAGCTCCGCCTAGTAACTTGGGTTATAACTTCTGAATTATCTTAAACATCCTCTGAATTGTTCTACACATCCTCCTCTGCACCTCTATATACAATTAATCTCCAAGTCCTTGTGATTCTATTTCTGAAGTGTCTTATAGATAGTCCCCTTTCCTTCTGATCCCACCGACACTAACTTGGTTCAAATCTTTACTATATTTCCTTTAAACTAGGGGACTAGATTTCCAACTGATTTCCTTCTCTCTCTTTTTCAATCATGCTAACAGAAACTTTTCTTAATAGATTTAGAACAAGCTTGTTCTTCTACTCAGAAATTCACCATGGTCTGTAAATCATGGCTGTTCATTTTCATTATTATCAAATTATACATACACATAGCTTAAAGAGTCAAATGGTTCTATAAAGTCATTGCTTCATCCTGTTAACTTATGTCCATTTGACTTTTGCCATTACATTGCCGTCTTTACTTACCAAGTTTGTGTTGTTTCTGTTTGATCTTTAAGTTTTAAGCATTATATATTGACTTGCCATTATGGAAGATGAGGATTTAGCTCTCTTCCTCCATCCCTGCCACATATAAACACCTTTCCCACATCCCCATCTTCCCGATACAGTTAACATTGTAATTTTGATCATATTGATATTTATAATTTTATATCATTTTGACTATGGAAATGCTATTACAGCTGGTCCAAATATTAAATTAAATTCTTCTTCTTCCTGGACAACTTTTTGTGTTCCCAATCTTGTTATTTTATTTTCTTGCAATTATTACTAATTCAAACCCAAACTCTTCCTAGTTGCCTAATTCTTATCTCAAGACATTTAGATACGTCATGCATGCTATCACTTCCATCATCCTGAAGGAGTCTTTCTTGAAATGTAAATTCCTAGCATAGTACCTTTCACACGGTCGGTTATCAATAAACATTTATTGATGAATTAACTGGAATGCTACCAACTGAGCTGCATAAATATATTTCTACAGTTTATTTGTCCTTAGAAGAACTAAAATTGTGTGGGTCATTTCATGTTTTGCATGATTTTTAAATGTGGATTTTTTTTGGTTTTGCTAATTAAGAAAATAATGTATTTTTCATTTCATTTTTCATTTTCATCAAACAGTGAATTCTCATTATTTCAAAATGATTTTTTTTTTGAGGAAGATTAGCCCCGAGCTAAGTGCTACCAATCCTCCTCTTTTTGCTGAGGAAGACTGGCCCTGAGCTAACGTTCATGCGCATCTTCCTCTACTTTATACGTGGGACTCCTACCATAGCATGGCTTTTGCCAAGCAGTGCCATGTCCACACCCGGGATCTGAACCGGTGGACCCCGGGCTGCCGAGCAGTGGATCGTGCGAGCTTAACCACTCTGCCACCAGGCCAGCTCCCCAAAATGATTTATTTTTAAACTGTTAATTGTACCAACTATCAAGGTAAAAAGGAATTCCACTAAAATGTAGAATTTCAACTGAGTGAAAACATCAGGAGAACTCTAGAAGATAATTCTGTCCATTGGCTGTGCTTATAACTGCCTTTGGATATGCTCATTGGGATGTACTGCTGACACCTTAAATTCAAGTGCCCCAAACAATTTCATTATTTTTCCTTATACCTGTGTTCCCTTTTTTGGTTAATTTATTTACTATCCTTTAGTCACCAAAGTATAAACTTTAAACTCCTTCCTCCTCTTCATAGTCGTTGAGTTCTGTGGTTCTGCTTCTGAAATGCTTCTTGAATGTCTCTTCTCCATTCTCTTTTCATTTTCTTGATTCAGAACTTTACTGAGCTATTGCATTATGCTCCTAACTGGTCTTCCAATCTCTCTAGCCTCCAAAAGTACCTTAGGAATCTTTGATTATTTTGCCTTTCTTGTGGAATTAGGTCTAATTTTCTTGATTTTTATCGTTGGTAGGTAAGGGTAGGACCTTAGGGTCACACAGACCTGGATGCAACTTCCACCCTTACCACTTTCTGTGTAATTTGCTCAGGCAGGTTTTCTAACTTACCAAGAATAGTTTCCATATCAATAAATTGGTTGATAAGAACAATAATAGTTTCCAACTCCTAGAATTTTTGTGGTGATTAAATTACCCATAGTCTATTTAAGGTGCTCACGTGTGGTAGGCATTCAATATGTTAGTTTTCATTTTTATTTCTCAGTATTTCAGCCACCATCCTGATTGGTTACTATGCTATAAGTTTTAAGATCTGCTTATGTTTTCTCTGATGAACTCCTACTTGTTCTTCAAAGCCCTATTTAAATGCCACCTCTTCTATGAAGATTTCCTTGGCAGAACTGAATTAATCACTCTCTCTTCTGAGAGTCACATTACATATTCATACTAATAATTGGGTTCATAACAGTGTATCATAGCTATATATTGTTTTTATTGAATTGGTAGTAGTTTACATCATTGTGAAGTTTCATTTGTACATTATTTCTTTTCTGTCACCACATAAGTGCTCCCCTTCACCTCCTGTATCCACCCCCGACTTCCCCTGGTACCACTGAACTGTTTTCTTTGTCCATGTGTTTGTTTATATTCCACATATGAGTGAAATCATATGGCATTTTTCTCTCTCCGTCTGGCTCATTTCACTTAGCCTAATACCCTTCAGGTCCATCCATGTTGTTGCAAATGGGATGATTTTGTCTTTTTTTAATGGCTGAGTAGTATTCCATTGTATATATATACCATAGCTATATTTTTTAAAGAACCTTTTCCTTGTACATTTGAAAATCTTCAAAGATAGAGACCATATTTAATTCATTCTTATATCCACAGTGCCTAGCGTGGTGTTGAATGCAAAAAAATGCAAACATTTCTACTTGCATCCTGGTTTTAAGCTCTACCTCTAACTAGTTACCTCAAAAGATAGACACCTGAAGGTCTTTTTCAAAGGTAATTTTAAAAATAGTAAGTTGAGGGGCCGGCCCAGTGGCACAGCAATTAAGTCCACACGTTCTGCTTCTTGGCAGCCGGGGATTTGCAGGTTTGGATCCCGGGTGTGGACATGGCACTGCTTGGCAAAAGCCATCCTGTGGTAGGTGTCCCACATATAAAGTGGAGGAAGATGGGCATGGATGTTAGCTTGGGACCAGTCTTCCTCAGCAAAAAGAGGAAGATTGGCAGTAGTTAGCTCAGGGCAAATCTTCCTCAAAAAAAAAAAAGTAAATTGAAAACACATTACTAATTTAGCAGTGCTACGGAAAGTTTGGAAGATAAAGTAAAAGGCCACCTATAATCATGCTGCTGTCACATGATTTCTATTATCCTTTTGGTGTTTTCCCTTCTAACTGTTTTTCAATAAACATATATTTGCATGGTTGTAATTCTAGCAGACATTTAACTTTTTTTCTGCTTGTTTTTTTTAAGCATTATGTTGTAGGTACTTCATGTGCTATTACAGAAGATTTATTACCATTAAAAAACTACTTCTTCAAGTGAGTATTTAATTATTTATTATTGTATATTTCTATCTACCCTTTCTTTCCCTTCTTGCTATTATAAATAATGCTGTAGTAGACAATTGCATGACTATAGCCATTTATGTATGTTGGATTAATTCCTTGACATTCATTCCCCAAAGTGCAATTAATGCTTTAGTGATAATTCACTTCAGTCATATATTATGCTAGGATTATAACTGCAGTATTTAAACAGGTCAGTAGTGGAATTAGAAAATGCTAGGGTGGAAGATTAAGGATGGAAGAGGAGGTAACTATCTTTTCAATAAAACTGTTTACTCCTTTAGGAGAGGTACCGAGCCTTATAGTTCTTTGCTAATTCCTCTTGTGAGGAAACAATGTTCATTAGCTAAATATTTATTGAGCACTTATTTATTGAGCACTCTAAGTGCTGGCCACATACAAATCCATAATGCCTGCCATCAAAAAGCTTGCAGTTGACTGGGAGAGCAGACATGTAAATAGGCAATTAGAATACACAGAAATAAGGACTTCAAATGGGTATAAGTACATCCAAGTATTAGGGAATACACAGAAAGAGCAACTTAACCCATATTGGAGGGTTCAGAGAATTCATTTAAAAAATTGTGTGCCAGTTACTAGAGTTGCAGTTCTGGAGCTCAGAGAGCTCCTGGTCTGGTGGAGGAGACTGACATATATTCAAAAAATGCTTTAGTAGATTTAAAATTACAAGTGAATATCTAGACCAAGGTAAAGATTTCAAATGAAATATCTGGAAATCTGTTTTATCACTCAAAGAGGATACAGATGGTATGAAACAGTGAGGGAGCATTAATAAGGTGGACTCAGGAATAGCAGCTAGTGAGTTGTGTAGAGAATGAGTAAGAACGGGAGAAGAGGCAAGTCACACCCACTTCTCTACACCCTATCTGCAGCCAAGCCTACCTGGGGGAGGTGGAAGAAATTCTTACCTTTGAATGAAGACAAGTGTTGGCGAATATATTGGGCTGGCTCTTTTAATTTCTAAATCAAGACTGTGTTTTTGCAAACTAAGTAAGCATATGACATTCTATTTCCAAATTGACATCAGAAGAAATAAAAATGAAGGGACTACCCAAGTTTTCATTCAGATAAGGGCACTATTACCCCCTACTGTGCCAAAAGATGGTGGGAGATTCTTTTTGATGTTGTACCGTGGGTCTTTCAGATTCATCTTACCATCTTACTGGCAATACACACAGTCTTAATTTCCTAGATGGTCAAAGTCTTGATATAAGTCATAATATGGTGTCGATATTTAAGGAAGTGTGGCAGAGACATCTAATTACCTCAAATCTATTTCTACTTTCTTTTGGTCAGAGAACCCCAGGACTTTTAGGAGGTCACAAAGCTGCTCAGCTAGAAACTATGTTTTCCGGCCTTCCTCACAACTAGGTGTATCCATGTGACTAAATTTGGGCCAGTGGTTATATGAGAACTAATTTATGCAACTTTGGGTCACTTCCTTAAGAAAGGAAATTGATGGCCTTCATATCCTCCTTCCCTTTTGCCACTAGCTGTGACTTGATGAGAATTGGAGCAGCTGCCTTGGACACAGAGCTATGGGAGCTGCATGTTGTGAATGACAGAGCTGCTCTGCCAACCCACCTCTGGACTGTTATATGAGGGAGATATAAAATTATATAATTTTATATACAAGAAAGAGACAGTCATATTATTTTGTATATACTATATGTATAATATAATAACGTTATTTTATTTACTGAGGGGAGTATTTATTATGGTAAATTAGCCTACTCCCTGCTTAATTCAGGAAGAATAGTGGTGAGAGGCTAGGATATTTCAGGCAAATGGACAGAAGCATAAAAGAGTAGGTATGTTCAGGTAAATACAAGTATTTTGGTATAGATAGACTTCAAGATATCTGAGAGAAAGTGGTGATAGCTGAAGTTGGAAAAATAGGAAGTAGCCAAATCATAAAGAGGCTTGTATATCCTGCTACCAAATTTACATTGTCTCCTATCAGCCATAAGGAACCATTGAAAGTTGTTGAGCAGGGGCAGGGTTTAAAGAAAGATCACACTGGCAATAGTAGAGAAGATGAATGACCTTTGTCCTGTCATAGTTTTAGATTGTCTGTGTCTTTAATCCTCTTCTCTAAAGTTAGATAATCAAGGGTAATATAATCTGGCTTCTCTTCAATTAGTTGAGCTCATATAATACTAAACTCCAGGATTCAGTATGAAATCAAAGGAGCAGGAATGACTTTTTCAGAATCATCTTCCTCACCCTGAGTTATTATGAGTGGGTAGAAAACTTGCATTGCTTGGTGGAGCTACATGTCTTTCCAGCAATGCTAGCATTCAGAAAATTCTGGGCAATTCCTCCTTTCAGATCCAAGCTGAACTCATATCCAAGCTAAGTTTTTTAGAGAATTACTTTTCCAGTTGTATTGCTGGCAAATCCTTCCTTCCTCTGTAGTCATTTTCTCATATTGTGTAGCCTTTTTGTCATGTGCTTGCTGAATCACAGCAACATTTAGTTCCATAACTTGGGGTCTTGAATCTTGTGGTGTGTACAGTAAGAAGAACATGTCCCTGGTTTTGTTACCTGTTGTTCTTTCAGCATGTTATATGTCGGATGGTAACAATAAAGTGCCTAGTTGTTTGTGGTCTTCCTACAGGAACTATACTGAGTGTTTTAACTTTCATTAGCCAACAAAATGATAGAATTCATACACACAAATAGAAAACACTCTTCTAGCTTGGAAGTTTTTTCTTTACATCTTAGTGTTAGCAATTAAAGGTAAGCAGGTTTTCACTAACCTTTCTTCCTATTCACTTTTGTTTTGTTACTCTTAGAAGATAAAATAGGAAAAACTTTCTAGTGAGCTAAGTCCATTAACCCCAAAGGACTATTCTGCACTACACCAGAGGGAAGGACAGCTGAGATGAATGGTATTTTGGCCTGCCCTAATCATATTCATTTGGCGGTATTTACAATCCTACTACTCACCCCTTCTTTGAATGATGTATCAAAAGCTTGAGGTATCTAAATATTTGCCTATAAAGATTCTCTCAACATGCCCTCTTTGCCTCTTATGGATTTTCAGAAGACGTATTCAATTCATAAAGTGAAGATATGGTAAATTCCACTTTATTTTGAATAGAAACACTCATCAAAGCTTAAACAGATTTCTCTTTGGCCCTTCTCTTTTATTTGAGACCGGTAGAGACAAAGCAAGTATAACTGTTAAGAGGGATTTTTTTTCCTAAACATCAATATCTAAAGCAAGATCAGTACTGCATCACCTGACTATCTTATCCTTAGGTTTAAAATGCTGTCCAGTGGAAACTGATTTTTATAATGATGATCCTGAAATATTTAAAAAATACTTCTCAAATCATTAAGGAAATAGTGATCCATCAGCAAGTATTTATTGATTATCTACTGTGTCCCAACAACCAAGCATGCTTAGTATTGTTAGTTCTATTTTAGAGACGAGGATACTCAGACACAGTGTTTTTCAAGAACCTACTCAAGGTCACACAGCTAGAAAGTGGTGAAAGAAGGAGTAGCACCAAAACTCACAGTAGTTTAACTTTCCTCAAGGAATTGACAGTCTGCATGGGAAGATAAGACTAACATATGAAAAAATAGAGAATAATTAAACTTAGAACCGTATGGCTGGGGCTATGAGTATAATAATCAGAAGACAGAGAGTTTAACAGGGGTTATAACAATTAACCTTCAAGCAGAATGTTAGACTTGAATTAGGTCTTGAGGATGAACTAGAACTTGCATAGGTAGAGTGGAGGAAAATGCAATTTAGTCATGGAGAAATAGTCAGAACAAACTAATGCGAGGGGAAAAAGACAGAATGTAAATTCAGAGTATTTTCACTGTTGCGTATATTTAACTTTTATCTACTTCTTTAAGTTCAGTAACCCATCAGCATATCCCATTTCCAACCATGTTGACAAATAGACTTTTACTATGAAAATCTGTTTTAGACTTCAAGAGCTGGAGAAAACTTTAAAAATCTTTCCTGAGAATTTGGGCACAGTGAGCGTTTGTAATTCATAGAAGGTTATTGGATCATTCTATTGCTTATCTGGAATTCAGTGTGCTTTCTCCACCACCATACTGCTTTGGGCAGGTCATGGGTAATGGGGGTGAGAGGAGAGAAAGCTTACAGTACTGGGTATTCTCAGACTGTCTCCTTTTCAAGTACTAAGCAGACCCAATTCTGCTTAGCTTCCCAGATTACAGGGCTGTCAGATGGAAAGGAAAAACAAAGTACGTGAAGTTTCTTTTAAGGTGCACATGTGGACTGGTGTTTCCTTTCTTGGCTGTTAGAAAGCACCTTCATCATGGTACAAAGGAGTTTTCTTGATACTGTGGGGATTTATTGGCACACGTTATAATGTGCTACAGAGGCACTTTTTCTCTCTCCTGAGTTATGTCTGGTAGGTGACAAAGCAAATACACAATAGGCTTCTGAGGTATGATGTGCAGAACCTGAAAAGAAAGAAGTTTAAAGATTGAAAGGGAAGGAGAAAAAAAGACACGGGGAGATAAGTTTGCTCTTTTATCTCAACTTTGCTCTTATTATAGAAATCATACTGTTAAAAACAAAACTAAACAAAAAGCAGTCCATAGTTCACAGACGTTAGCTTTTGGCTAGGAGATGAGAACTGCTTTTTTTAGCAGACAGGTAGGCCAGAATGTGTATAAGGAAAGTGAAGTTTAAAGAACTGCCTAATTTAAAGAGGATTCTTGGAAGTTCATTCAATGGATGTTCTTACAATTTACGCGGGAAGTCTTTAAAAATAGGAGTGAAGCATTCATATCTTCTTTGATACTTTTTAACATAGTTCTGCCTACAAATGGATTCAGAAAGCTGGATTAGATGACTTATACTCCAACATTGTAAATCTGTTATTACGTTCAAGTCATTTAACCAAAGGAATTGGCCTTTAGATATTTAGAAGTTTTTAATGGGGACATATTAG